AGGACGGATGTTGTTGTTGTTATGGGCTGTTGAGTCAGACTCAACTCATAGCGACCCCTCCTTGGGTTTCCAAGGCAGTATCACTACGAAAGTAGATTGCCCCATCTTCCTTCCAAGGAGTGGCTGTTGGGTTTGAACTGCCAGCCTTCTGATTAGCAGTCAAGTGCCTTAGGCACTACGCTACCAGAGCTCCCTGTAGGATGGATAGGCAAGTACAAACCTGTAGTTTTATCAGGAAGGTCAGGCTGGAACCTCGGGCTCAGGCTGAGTCTGCTCTCTGTAGGGGGGATTTCTTTTTCATCAGAAAAGCCTCAGGTCTACTCTTAAGGCTTATCAACTGATTGAGTCAGGACCTCCTAAGTTATCCAGAATCCAGACCTACCAGGTTTTCCAGGATAACCTTTATTTAATGTCAATTGATTATGGGTTTTCATAATATCTACAAAATAGTTACACAGCAACATCTAGTCTTTGAATAATGGGGGACTGTAGCATAGCTAAAGTGACACATAAAAAGACTATCACAGTCTGTCCCTTGTCATTTTAGCACCAAACACATTTCTTTAAACTGTACTTAATCTCTAGGTAAAGAGTAACAAAGTTGTATTGTGCCTCACATGGTATAACTATGCTACATACAACTAAAAACATGCTAAGTTCTCCCCCAGAAGAGTATTCAGTCCGTGGGTGACACTAACTTTTTCCCTTTAATATCCTGCAACTTAAATACTGTCACATAAAGTTAATTATTATTAATTTATCTTGTGTTAGGAGATAAGGGGATAAGGGAGAAACAGAGAAATATTTAGCTAATATATGGTTGCATACAACCATATTCATAACAAAATTAGGAAGAAATACTCGAAAGTTTATAATCCTTGTTTCTGCAACTGATTTACATGGTTGTAGCTGATCAGCCCAGCTACCTTCTTCCACTAACCATTCCATATTTCCTTTATCCTAAGCAGCTATCTCACCTGATCAAGGTTCTTTGCCTGGTTGGGTGACTCAACCCTTCATTTTTGAAAGGTCTGGGCCATTAGCATTTCTGCCTGAATTGTACTGTGGTAGTTTTCCATTTAATCTCAGGTCACAAGAGACATCCTAAGGGATCTCCTGTATTCTGGACACACTGTTCCTTACTTCCATTATGTAGTAACAACCTGTTCTTGATTCATGAGTGGAATATTTTATCATTAAAGAAAAAAACCCAAAACTAAACTTATTGCCGTTGAGTCTTTTCTGACTCATAGCGACCTCTCCTTGGATTTCTGAGGTAGTATCTGGTAGCATAGTGGCTAAGACACTTGCCTGCTAACCAGACGGCTGGCGGTTCAAACCCACCAGCCACTCCTCGGAA